ATAGAAATGTAATTTTGGGTGAAAATTCAAAAAGAAATACCTAGACTAAGCACAGTCTAAGTGACAACCTGGTACAAATATATATACAAGTGCGTTTAGATTGTGGCTCTAAGGTTTTTTATTAAATATTGTGAAAACTATTGAAAAATGTAAAAATGCCGCCAAGTTAAGAACAGTATAAGTGAAAATGTCGCACAGCATTATTTGCAAATGCGTTTAGACTGTGACTATGAGAGCACTTTTCCAATTTTGTGTAAATTAGGCAACTATTTTTTTTCAACTTCCCGTAGGGTAAGTTATTGTAATGGGCCGAAAATCGGAATTGAAAATTTTTACATTTCTCGACGTTTTGAAGGTTTCTGAACGTTTTGGCATACCTCAGAAAAAATGGATGTGTGTGTGTGTGTGTGTGTGTATGTGTGTGTGTGTGTGTGTATGTATGTATGGATACAAATTTTCGCCCACGTTTTCGGGCGTACGGATCAACAGATTTGAATGGTTCAAAAAACATTCGATTCCTATTGATAGGGAAAAGAGCTGATTAGTTTTTGGCAAAGGCAGGTCCAGCCGTTTCGGAGATACGGAGCAAAGAGTGCAGAAAATAAAAATCGAATTTTTGAGAGAACGGAGTATCCGATTTGAATGATCTAAAAAACATTCAATTATTAATGATTGGGAGAAGTGTTTGTTAGTTTTTGGCAAAGGCAGGCCCAGCCATTTTGAAGATACGGAGCTAAATATGTGAAAAATGGCAATTTCTGAGAGAACTAAGCGTCCGATTTAAATGATTCAAAGAACTTTCTGTTTGTCTCAACAAAATAATTGATTTTGGAAAAAAAAGAATTTGTTCCATTTTTTTTTTTTTTTTTTGTATATCGAAAATATTTCAGATTTTATTTTTAATTCTGACTATAGTGCTATACACATACTATAAAGTATATATAATATACTTTACAAATAATTTCAACTCTGCAATTCAGTTTATATAATTCTTATAAATATTACACAATGTTACAATATTTATAATAATCTATTTGAAAACATTCAGTATTCCTCGAACATTTCGTTACGGTACGGGAAGTTCCAGCAATTTGCCTTAAGGCACGATGCCATAATTGCCTCAAGACAGAATTCCACTTACAGCTAGTTTAAATTGAATTCGGAATGAAATGACACATTCTATCTAATACACTAAAAGTATTTTTTTTTATTCCCTAGAAATTGTTTAGAAACTACCTTACTTAGCAAAACAACGTTTGCCGGGTCAGCTAATAAATTTATATAAATCTTATCTGGGTAAATTTACGTGCTACGTAAATTATGGCGACATCTTTGATACACTGAAAGAATTAAAATTGTGTTTGCCATATACTTATACGTTTATCCAAGAACTTGCCTTTAGGCAAAAATGTCACTAATAACACATGTATTTATCTATCACAATATCAATTTATCTATTTATCTACTTACGTGTCGATTTGTCGCCAATGAAACAAACGAAAGAATAAATAAAAATCAACTTCAATAAACCACTCATTATCCGATGAACTGATGACATTCGACTCTAGATAAAAATTAGATTAATTTTAAGGTTAGATTTAGAAAAAAATATGCGACTGAGAAATTTGTTTGAAAAATCAATATCATAGCAATCCCCGATGTCGTTGTCGTTATTGACATTTTTGCGTGCGTTTATTTATTTTTTTATTTTTTCTGATCGCTTGCCAAAAGTATTTTGTTGAACATTCCTGAAATAGTGGATGATGATAAGGGAAAGCGGGGTAAATAGGAGTAATGATGATTTATGATGAAATATGATGATTTATTGATGTGGTCGAGAGGTGAAATTTGCTCTTGTGTTGTATTAAAAACCGTTTTTATTTAATTTAAAATACAATTTTTAAAAATCTTGACGATTATTTAAAATTTGATGATAATTGATGATTACTGATGATTACAAATTAAAATTGATGATTAGTAATAATTGTTCTGTACAAGTAGTAATTAGATGTATTTAAAACGGTTTTTACAATTTTTAAAGACACTATTTAAAATTGTTGATGATAATTGATGATTGCTGATTATTGTTGATGATTTTTGATGATTACAAACTAATACTGATGATTTTAAATGATTGTTTTGTACAAGTAGTAATTAGATGTTGTATTAAAAAGGTTTTCACAATGTTTAAAGACATTATTCAAGATTGCTGATGATAATTGATGATTTCTGATGATTTTTTATGATTACAAACTAATATTGATGATTATTTGAATAATTGTTTTATACAAGTAGTAATTAGATGTACTAAAAACGGTTTTCACAATTTTTAAAGACATTATTCAAGATTGTCGATGATAATTGATGATTATTGATGATAATTAATGATTGTTGATGATTAGTGATGATTATTCAATATTATTCGAGATTAAAGCATATTATTCATTACTATTCATGATTATTGCATATTATTTAATATTGTGTATGTTATTTGATGATCATTAGAATTTTTGATGATTACTGATGATTATTGATGATTACTGATGATAATTGATGATTATTTGATACAATTAGTGTCTATAGAACCTTGTTGATAAGTGTTAACCCCTACTGATGATTTTTAATAAATATTTAATGTTATTGATGATTAAGTACATTTTTGATGAAGACTATTGATGATTTCTGATAATTGCTGATGATTGCTGATGATTTTTGATGATTACAAACTGATATTGATGATTATTTGAATAATTGTTTTGTACAAGTAGTAATTAGATGTATTAAAAACGGTTTTCGCAATTTTTAAAGACATTATTTAAGATTGTTGATGATTTCTGATGATTACTGATGATTTTTGGTGATTTTTGATGATTAGTGATGATTTTTTTATTATTATTTGAAGTTGAAGCATATTATTGAAGACTATTGATAATTATTAAAGATTGTTAATGATATTTGATAATTTGATGATCATTAGAAATTTTTGATGATTATTGATGATTGTTGATGATTAGTGATGATAATTAATGATTATTTCTGACAATTCGTGATAATAGAAAATTATTGATAAGTGTTCACATTTTTTAATAATTTTCAATGACTTTTTATTATTATTGATGATTTATTATTATTAAGAACATTTTTGATGAAACCTATTGATGATTGCTGATGATTTTTGATGATTACAAACTAATATTAATGATTATTTGAATAATTATTCGAATTTGAATAATTAGATTATAGAAAATTATTGATAAATGTTAATGTTTATTGACGATTTTTAATGAATATTTAATATTATTGATGATTTTTGATGATTTCTGATGATTTCTGATGATTTTTGATGATTTTTGATTATTACAAACCAATATTGATGATTATTTGAATAATTGTTTTATACAAGTAGTAATTAGATGTATTGAAAACGGTTTTCGCAATTTTTAAAGACATTATCTAAGATTGCTGATGATTGCTGATGATAAATGATGAATAATTATTATTTAATGCAATAAGTGATGATAGATCAGATAGAAACATTATTAATAAGTGTTAATATTTATTGATGATTTTCAATGACTTTTTATTATTATGGATGATTAAGAACATTTTTGATGAAAACTATGATTTTGATTAAGCAAAATGATTTGCAATAATAAAATAGGACTCTACTGACGAGCAAACTAAATTACAAAAGTAAAAGGAACTCTAGTGGCAAGCAAACTTAATTACAAAAAATAGGACTCAACTGTTGAACAAACTGATCTAGAATTAAAAAGGGACTCTATTGACGAGCAAACTTAATCTAGTAATAAAAAAGGGACTCTACTGACGAGCAATCTAGAATTAAAAAAGGGACTCTACTTACGAGCAAACTTAATCTGGAATTAAAAAAGGGACTCTACTGACGAGAAAACTCAATCTAGAATTAAAAAGGGACTCTACTGACTAGCAAACCTAATCTAGTAATAAAAAAGGGACTCTACTGACGAACAAACTAATCTAAAATTAAAAAAGGGACTCTACTAACAAGCAAAATAAATTATACAAATATATTAGGACTCTACTGACGAGCAAAATGATTTGAAATAATAAAATAGGACTTTACTGACGAGAAAAATGATCTACAAAAATAAAATTGGACTCAACTGACGAGAAAAATGATTTACAAAAATAAATTTGGACTTTACTTACGAGAAAACTAAATTACAAAAGAAAAAGGAACTGTACTGACGAGTAAACTGAATTACAAAAAGACAATAGGACTCTACTGACGAGCAAACTAATCTAGAATTAAGAAAGGGACTCTACTAACAAGCAAAATAAATTATACAAATATATTAGGACTCTACTGACGAGCAAAATGATTTGAAATAATAAAATAGGACTCTACTGACGAGAAAAATGATTTACAAAAATAAAATAGAACTCTACTGACGAGAAAAATGATGTACAAAAATAAAATTGGACTTTACTTACGAGCAAACTTAATCCTGTATTAATAAAGGGACTCTACTGACTAGCAAACTTAATCTAGTATTAAAAAGGGACTCTACTGACGAGCAACCAGTTTTTTAGTAAATCTAAAATCTGCCAACTTCTTTCTAACAACCATTAATTTTTGCATACATTTATTTAACAATCAATAAATATATATATATATATATATATATATATATATATAATTACATCAATAGAAATTATATCTGAATCTAAATTTTATTTTCATCATCATCATCTTGATGACTATCTTATGAATATAAATATAAATATATATATATATATATATATATATATATATTATTCTGCCTCCTACATATGAACAGACAAGAAATAATGTTAATAGTAAAAGAATTCTACATGGTGCAGTTATCGTAAGATTTTTCCTTGCTTGTTTATATGTAAAATACGCCTGATCACACAGCAAATAAATCGACATTTTCACAGTTTTACTAACAAGAAACAAACATAAGATTATGACTATTCTAGTCTGATTTTATTTTTTATCCATAAACATCAGCGATATGTTTGGCAAAGACTTCAAAAGCCGCCATTGTCTCCTGGCAAGTAGGCAAAATTCGCTCTGGCGGTGGATTGAAACCATTAGAACCGCCTCCTGGTAATTCTACAGTATATGCATAAGGAGATTCTCCTACTGCGAAGGCAAAGTCATCACTTGCACCTGCTGCAGCATACAAAACTATAGTGGAGCACCCAACTTCGTATCTGGGAATAGAAAAAAATGTTTATTATTTAAAAAAGAGACTCTACTGACGAGAAAACTGATACACAAAAAGACTCTAAATACGATCAAATTTTGTAGCAAAGTCGAAGGTAGAAAAGGACTCTATTGACAACCAATATGAATCTAAAAAAAGACTTTAATAAAGTTTGGCTACACTAAAGAGGAATATAGTGACAAAAAGGACTGTACTAACGACCAAACTTAATTTTAAACTAAACAATAAAAAAAGGACTCTACTGACGAGCAAACTTAATCTAGAATTAAAAAAGGGACTCTACTGACGAGCAAACTTAATCTAGAATTTAAAAAGGGACTCTACTGACGAGCAAACTTAATCTAGAATTGAAAAAGGGACTCTACTGCTGAGAAAATTTAATTTTGGACTAAACAATAAAAAAAGGACTCTACTGACGAGAAAACTTCATTTTGACTAAAAAATTAAAAAATGGACTCTACTGACAAGCAAACTTAATTTTGGTCAAAAAAATGATGAGCAAATTTAATTTTGGTCAAAAAAATTGGTCAAAAAAGAGGACTCTACTGACTGGCAAATTAAATTGAATAGAAACGTGCAAGATTTGAAAGGGACTCTACTGACGAGCAAACTTAATTTTGCACTGAAAAATTAAAAAAGGACTCTACTGACAAGCAAACTTAATTTTAAACTAAAAAATTAAAAAATGGTCTCTACTGTAGTAAACTAATCTAGTATTAAAAAAGGGACTCTACTGACGAGCAAACTTAATCTAGAATCAAAAAAGGGACTCTACTGACGAGCAAACTAAATATAAAAAAGAACTCTAATGACGAGCAAATTGAATCTAAAAATCTAAAGGAAAGGGACTCTACTGTCGAGCAAATTGAATCTAAAAATCGACAAAAAGGGACTCTACTGACGAGCAAACTGATCTAGAATTAAAAAGGAACTCTACTGACGAGCAAATTTAATCTAGAATCAAAAAAAGGACTCTACTAACTAGAAAACTTAATCTAGAACCTATCATTTGTTGTATTCGGTTAAAATAATTTAGCCTACTTGGTTCCTGATACTGCCTGAAGTGCCTTAGCAGCCCTTTTGCCCAAATCATCTAAATCCTCCCAGTTATCAGGAAGTTCTGCAATGTACCCCCAAGGATACAAAAATAATTCACCATGAGTATGCATTGCCAAGTATAGTTTAACATTCGTCTTCAGCAAGATGTCTCTCAAAGCGCTGGTTTCGGGCTCGGAAAATGGTTTGGATCCTGCATAAGTGTCTGAACAAGGATTCGAACTTGCTCCGGTTTCCATCCAGTGGAAATCGAAGTTGCGGTTGCCATCTGTTCCTGGACAATCGGTGCCTGGGTTAGGGCTTCGGGTTTTTCGCCAGAAACGGCTCTGGAGGGAAAAAGATGATTGTGATTGAAAATTAAAAAGTAGTGGTGTATGGCATCGTGCCTTAAGGCAAATTGCTGGAACAAAGTAAATTGCAAAAGTAAAAGGAACTCTACTGACGAGCAAAATAGTCTAGGATGAAAAAAGGGACTCTACTGACGAGCAAACTTAATCTAGAATTAATAAAGGGACTCTACCGACGAACAAACTAATCTGGAATTAACAAAGGGACTCTACTGACGAACAAACTAATCTAGAATCAAAAAAGGGACTCTACTGACGAGCAAACTAATCTAGAATTAAAAAAGGGACTCTACTGACGAGCAAACTAAATTACAAAACAGGAAAGGACTCTACTGACGAGAAAAAATATTTACAAAGATAAAATTGGACTCTACTGTTGAGAAAAATGATTCACAAAAATAAAATTGGACTCTACTGACGAGCAAACTTATTTACAAAAAGACAATAGGACTCTACTAACGAGCAAAATAAATTATACAAATATATTGGGACTCTACTGACGATTAAACTAATCTAGAAATAAAAAAGGGACTCTACTGACGAGCAAATTGTATTTTAAAAAAGGAAAGAAGAAGAAAAGGACTCTACTGACGATCAAATTAGTAAAGAACTTTGAAGATAAAAAAGGACTCTATTGACAAACAAACTGAAATAAAAAATATGAAAAGAAAAAATGGACTCTACTGCCAAGCAAACTGAAATAAATGATATGAGAAGAATAAAAGGACTCTACTGACGAGCAAATTGTGTTTTAAAAGATACAAAAAAGGACTTTACTGACGAGCAGATTTGGAAACATAGGAAATAAACGAGGACTCAACTGATGAGCAAATTGTATTTTGAAAGACATGAAAAGGGACTCTACTAACGAGCAAATTGTATTTTACAAGAGAAAAGAATAAGAAAAGGTTTTTACTAATGAACAAACTGAATTGAAAAATATGAAAAGAAAAAAGGACTCTACTGACGAGCAAACTAATCTAGTACTAAAAAAGGGACTCTACTGACCAGCAAACTTATTTACAAAACAGGAAAGGACTCTACTGACGAGCAAACTAAATTACAAAAGAAAAAGGAACTCTACTGACGACTTATTTACAAAAAGACAATAGGACTCTACTGACGAGCAAACTCATTTACGAAGATAAATTAGGACTCTAAAGACGAGCAAAATAAATTATACAACATTATATGTAATTTTGTCTAATTTGTTGTATAATTTATTTTGCTTGTTAGTAGAGTCCTATTTCATTATTGCACATCATTTTGCTCGTCAGTAGAGTTCTTTCCTATATTGTAAATAAGTTTGCTCGTCAGTAGTTTTTTTTTCTTTTGTAATTTAGTTTGCTCGTCAGTAGAGTCCTATTTTATAAGCCTGATCGCACAGCAGACATTTTCACATATTCCGGTAAATTTAATCAGTTTTTCCTTTGGATAAAAAGATCAATTGTGTTTTCATTTTCACCATGAAGACTTTGGTACCCAAGTTGTATTTTTTTAGGCACTTATGGTAAATAAGAAGAAATTTGAAGTGTTTTAGTTAAATTTATAGAACTCTTGGATATTTCATTAAATACCTCACTATTACCAGGTCACCCAAACATATATTTAAAAGAGTTAAGCGAGGAATATCCCACACGAAGATTGAAAAAAAAAATGGTCATACGATCTTAAATAAAATGTCAAAAATAAAAAAGAGACATCTCATAGGAGATCATCTCTTAAATGCATTAACTCCAACAGCATATTGTCTTAAAAAATGTATATTATTTTGATTGGCAATAGAACTGTGCAAATAATAAAACTTATGGTAAATGGTAAGTAATATGAAGTGTTTAAGACAAATTTATAGAAGCACCTTTTATAATTCTTGGGAAACTTATTAAATACTTCATTATAATTTTTTTCATTATCATTTTCTTTCTATGTCTATCAATTAAATTTTACTATATTTACCGTAGTGTGACTGTATTCATATCCATCAGGATTGAGGACAGGAACAATGACAAAATCAACTTTATCCAAAAGATTTTTGTATGAACCAACTAACTGGTCAATCAGGTACAAAACAGTGGTTGGAGCCAACCATTCTCGAGCATGGATAGCTGCATCCATCACTATTGCTGGTTTGGTACCTAAATAGATAAAACCAAGGGGTAAATAAAACTTTACTACAATTACTCACAAACAAGAAGTTTCTCACCATTTCCACCACTGGACAAATACATTGCCAAATAGATAATACTACAATTTACGATCCAGTTAATGGATTTTACAAACAAGGAGTTTCTCACCATTTCCGCCACTGGATAAATATATTGCCCGAAGTGGACGTCCTTCAGTAGTTGTTCCAATGGTTTCAACCTTGGCTAGGTTTGGATGTTTGGCAGCAACTTCGTCCAGAAATTGCAGAATCTAGGAATTTTTTTTTCAAAAAGTTAATTGTAATGATTGGGAGAAGAGGTGATTACTATTTGGCAAAGGCAGGTCCAGTCGTTTCGAAGATACAAAACTAAATGTGCAAAAAATGGCAGTTTTTTAGTGAACTAAGCGTCCGATTTGAATGATCTAAAAATCTTTCCGCTTGTATTAACAAAACAATTGCTTTTGAGGATGAAAAGTTATAATAATTTTTTTTTTATTTTTCATAAAATATTTTTGTAATTTTGGACACCGATATTTTAGTATTTTTTACCCCCTTAGATTAGTTTGCTCGTCAGTAGAGTCCCTTTTTTAATTTTAGATTAAGTTTGCTCGTCAGTAGAGTCCCTTTTTAATTTTAGATTAAGTTTGCTCGTCAGTAGAGTCCTATTTTATCTTCGTAAATAAGTTTGCTCGTCAGTAGAGTCCTATTGTCTTTTTTCAATTTTGTTTGCTCGTCAGTAGAGTCCCTTTTTGTCTATTTTAGCATTTGCTCGTCAGTAGAGTCCATTTTTTGTCTATTTTAACTTTTGCTTGTCAGTATAGAGTCCATTTTTTGTCTATTTTAGCTTTTGCTCGTCAGTAGAGTCCCTTTTTTAATTTTAGATCAATTTGCCTGTCAGTAGAGTTCCTTTCACTTTTGTAATTTGGTTTGCTCGTCAGTAGAGTCCTATTGTCTTTTTGTAATTTAGTTTGCTCGTCAGTAGAGTCCCTTTTGTCTAAATTAGCTCTTGCTCGTCAGTTAAGTCCCTTTTTTAATTCTAGATTAGTTTGCTTGTCAGTAGAGTTCCTTTTACTTTTGTAATTTAGTATGCTTGTCAGTAGAGTCTTAATATATTTGTATAATTTGCTTTGCATTTATTTAAAAATTTATTTAAAATTTATTTAAAAAATTACCCAGGCTAAGCACAGTCTAAGCGTCACTCTGGTACAAATGTTTACCCGAGTGCGTTTAGACTGTTTTATGACCGGAGCACATTTCCAATTTTGTGAAAAACTATTGAAAAATGTGAAAATGCCGCCAAGCTGAGCACAGTATAAGTGAAAATGTCGCACAGAATTATTTGCAAATGCGTTTTAGACTGTGACTATACAGATGCACTTTTTTAATTTGTAAATTTGGCAACTTAGGTATTTTTTTGAAATTGAATTCGAAATGAAATGACGATTGTTAATGTTCTGGAGATAAATTGATTTATTTATAATTTACATTTGATTTGCTCGGATATAACAATATAGCAAAAATAATGAATGAATAATATATTTGAAAACGTTTAAAATTTCTCGAATATTTAATTACGGTACGGGAAGTTCCAGCAATTTTCCTTAAGGCACAATGCCATACACCACTAGTTATTATTAAATTCTGTTTATTATTACTCACCACTTCGTAACGATGATAAGCAGTGAAAGACAACCGGCCATTTGTCCTGGATAGGGCCACTTTGTTTGCACCAATTTCTTTACGGGCCAGTCTGATGAAAAAATAAGTATTTAAGAAAACTTTTGTATATAAACCATATTGTAATTTCTTACTTACTCGTCGACGTCATCAACAAAAACTTGGAAGTCGATTCCTCCAGTTTTCAAAAGTCCTTCGAATTTTGCAATTTGTTCAGGTTTTACAAGGACCCTTGAGGGACCCCAAAAGTCGAATTCGCCACTGTTACCTATAGACCTAAGGGCCGCTTCTTGGATAGAATTTGTGGCTTGCAGGTCGTAGATTTTGTAACTGAAACCATAAAAATATTAATTATTGAACTTATTCTACCGCATAACAGACCAATGTTATGGCAAGGCTATATTATGAAAAACTTTCCATACTGAATATTGACAAAAGCCATGCGGTTGCGGTTTTCTTCAGAGTTTCTTTTTAATTTTTTCACAATTTGATTGTCAGTGGGGTTTCTTTTCTTTTTTTTTTTTGTCACAACTTGCTTGTCAGTAAAGTCTTTTCCTGTTTTGTAATTCAATTTGCTCGTCGGTAGAGTCCACTTTTATTTTTATAAATAAGTTTTCTCGTCAATAGAGTTCTATTTTATTATTGCAAATTATTTTGCTCGTCAGTAGAGTCCTATTTTATTATTGCAAATCATTTTTCTTGTCAGTAGAGTCCTAATATATTTGTATAATTTATTTTGCTTGTTAGTCAGTAGAGTCCTATTTTATCTTAAATAAGTTTGCTTGTCAGTAGAGTCCCTTTTTTAATTCTAGATTAGTTTGCTCGTCAGTAGAGTCCTATTTTATTATTGCAAATCATTTTGCTTGTCAGTAGAGTCCCTTCTTCAATTCTACATTAGTTTGCTCGTTTGCAGAGTCTCTTTTTAATACTAGATTAGTTTGCTCGTGAGTAGCGTTTCTTTTTAAATTCTAGACTAGTTTGCTCGTCGGTAGAGTCTCTTTTTTTAATACTAGATTAAGTTTGCTCGTCAGTAGAGTTCTATTTTATCTTCGTAATTTAGTTTGCTCGTCAGTAGAGTCCAATTTTATTTTTATAAATTATTTTTCGTCAGTAAAGTCTTATTTTTAACTTCCCGTAGGGTAAGTTATAGTAATCGCAAAAAAATCGAAAATGAAAATTTTTATATATCTTTACGTTTCAGAGGTTTCTTAACATTTTGGCATACCTTAGAAAAAATGGATGTATGTGTGTGTGTGTGTGTGTGTGTATGTATGTATGTGTGTATGTATGTATGTATGTACGTGTGTGTATGTATGTGCGGATACAAATTTTCGTCGACGATTTCGGGAACACGGATCAACCGATTTGAATAATTCAAAAAACATTCGATTCGTATTGATAAGGAGACGTGCTGATTAGTTTTTGGCAAAGGCAGGTCCAGCCGTTCCAAAGATACGGGGCAAAAAGTGCCGAAAACGGTAACTCAGTTTTTAAGAGAACGGAGCGTCCGATTTTAATAATTCAAAAAACATTTGACTTGTATTGACAAGATGAAAAATTGGTCAAATTTTCATGAGGGCAGGTCTAGCGGTTTCGTAGATCTAACGAAAAAAGTAAAAAAAAAGCCATTTGGCGGTCAAAAATGATCATTAGACATATGCACATCAAATTATCAGATATTTTATAGAGATTTTAACAATAAATATAAATTTTGTTTGCATTCCTATAGGTTCTGTACCAATATTTATTCGTTAGACGGCGACGCGGCGCTTACGCGCTTTGACATTTTGTCTCTATGCAGTTAAAGCAGTACGATTACTTTGAAAAAAGATCTTCCAAAATATGCCAAAATAAAGAAAACATTATTTTTTCAAAAAAAAAAAATAAAAAAAAAAAAAGAATAGATTTTTTGTTTTAATTTATAGTTTTTCAAAAATCTTATTTTTTCGAAGTAAATTTGTTTTAAAAATGTCAATCGTTTTTAAAAAAATAATAATTTTTGGTACGGGAAGTTCCAGCAATTTGCCTTAAGGC